TTCTATGAGCAGTGTATGGGGTAGCGCAAGACTCGCCGACGCTTCGTAAGCTACCAAAACTGATCAGAGCGCCAGACGACACTTCATTGTACTGGGTTGGAGGATGTTCGCCAAGTGCAGCAAGGCGCGCCTAGCGGGAGTGGCTATTCCGCGGTAGAGAACCACTTTGATGTACCTTCGTACCTTCGTACCTTCGTACATGCGGCATACCGTAATCATTGCAGCCGTTCCCCGCCAAGATTAACCACCCCATCAAAGGCCAAATCACAACCACCGTTCCGAACGTCTCATAAGGCATTGAGCGAAACGTTTGTCTGACGGTAACCCACATCCGGTCGTCAGCACCGTCCGCCACGTCCCGCTCGAACCAGACTTTTGGTGGTACACACATTCACTCGATGGAGGCGTCGTCATTAACATTGGACCGGTCGGTCCCCACAAGGTGCGTTACTGGCATCTCACAGCTAAACAAGAAAATACTAATGTCAAGCGCGGTGCAGCCTGTCTGAATTGGCCTCTACCAATGCTCCATCCTCCACTTTCCTACCCACATCCAATCCCGCCTCATCTGTGCAAGCACCGTCTTCGTCAGCTTCAACTTCACGTCCATCTGGCCCTCCGAGCGCTTTCAACAGCAGCAGCGGCGCGAAGAAGCCCGCCGGGGTGCAGGATCACGCGCCTGTCATCCCCCCCCGCGTACCGCAAGGCAGCGGCAATCCCGGAGACCCTCTCGTTATCGAAGATAGTGATGATGACGGGTCAGCGGATGAAAATACCGTCAATGGGCGGGAGGTTGCGTTGGCGTCGGCGGTGAAGGGAGATATTGTCAATGGGCGGGAGGTTGCGTTGGCGTCGGCGGTGGAGGGAGACATCGTCAATGGGCGGGAGGTTGATTCGGCGTCGGCGGTGGAGGGAGACATTGTCAATGGACGGGAGGTTGATTCGGCGTCGGCGGTGGAGGGAGACATCGTCAATGAGCGGGAGGTTGAGTCGGCGAAGGCGGTGGAGAGGCATATCATCAAATTGCCAAAGCGTGCGTTGGCGTCGGCGGTGGGGGGAGGCATTGGCGGAGGGCCGAAGGTTGCGTCGTCGGTGGTCGCGAACAAGGCTATCGCTGAAAGGTCAAAGCGTGCGTCGGCAACGAACGTAAAGGAGGATAAAGAAGTTGTCTGTCTCTCAAAAAGGGAATATCAACTTAATATCCTTGAAATACAGGGGGACATTAGGGAAAGGAAGGACTTATTTATCGCCGCGTGGAGAAAGGGCATCAAGAAGCCCCGCCTAGAGTAGATCGATGTAGAAGCACAATCATTTGTACAGAGTCTGTTATGAATTTGATCATATATCTCGTTGCGCCATTGACTTTGATTGAACCTGTTCTCATAACGTGTGATTTGCAGGCACGCTTTCTGACGTCGTCACTCTTCGCGCTGTCTCCGGGGGCCCGCATCAATCGACCGGGAATAAACATGATGCTCGTCAGCTGGACGTCATTGAAGAACAGGGTCTACAATTGTCAGATCGAAAGTGGCAAGGAAATCAGTTTGGGAAAGAAGCCCTACGTGAAATTGTCGCAAGAGCCCAATCACTAACGTATGCTAATATACAGGACCATGAGTATTTCGCTAAAGCTCGGTGCGTCAAGGAGTGACGGTCTCTATCCTTTCCGCGTACTCGTGGCATGCGAGCTTACGTCAGATGGCTGTATCTTCCATTCATCCGCGCACAACAAGGTCTTCACAGAGATTCAAGGTGCGGGGACGCGCGTCTTGGAATAAAGTCACGTGGGCGCGTATACATCGGAGACGGCTTCTTGGAACTCTGAATCTGAGATGCTGGACCGAAGGCGGCAAGAGCAGAGTCGTTCTGTTGTGTGTACGGCCATGTTCTTGGCATTGCGATAGTGACTCTGACCGTCTCGAAGTCGGGAATCGGCGGCATTGAGGAATGGTGCGTTCATTGTGCAGGGACTTAGCGGACAAGCTGCCATCGGCGGCCTTCAAGCTTCTGGATAACCAGCGGAAATCGCAAACTGGCCGTGTTCTGAAGATGGCGCTTATAGTGTGGCATTTAGTACGTACCGTACTACAATCACCTACACCGCACCCAATGCGAATGACAGCCCCGACTCAAGCGTGTTGTACCGGAATTTTCATACGCTCCGTCAAGCGGCTGAGGCTTGTCGTGGTGCCGAACTAGTCAATCACAGTGTAAATGATGGAACGAGCCGTTGGCTGAACTGGTAACTGGACGTGACGTTATACATTGCACAAGGAGAAAGGCGCGCGGTGCTGAGTATTCTGCTTGAATTTCAGGGGGTAGCAGGGGGTACTAGGAGGTGGCAGGGCGCACTGGAAAGCAGCAGGGCGTACTGATACAGTAGGAGAAGCAGAGCACATGCAAGACGCGGTTTACAAAGTCTGAGACGAGCAGCGCTGCATCTGCCTTCGTGGCAACATAATGGACAGCCGTGGTTGTAATAAGTATGAGCGAGCCAAAATATGGGAAGGGACAGTCGAAGCACTGCGATGCAAAGGGTGCGCGGAGTTGGGATGTCAATCAATGTTGGGAATACTCGGAGGTGTGCTGGTGCATACGGATGTGTCAGCGCTCGCATGCTAAGCCAGAGAGTGCTATAACCGAGCATTCATGGGCGAGCAGATGGTGAAGGAGATATGCATGTAGCATTAGTGATCTGCGAGTTGTCGTTAGTGAGCTCGCGACGTTCCTTGACGGAGCACGTACTGGGCCGTCTCCGCTCCGGTCCCGTTCTAGCAGAGCAACAGATCGTGTTTCCTGTTCACAACGACCATTGCTTCAGACTCGGGCGCAGATGACGAGGTACGCTGCTCGCAATGGGCTGGCGCTGATGGAAGTGGTGGACGTGCGTTAGGTTTGCGACCTTGAGTCAGTCGTCAGTCAAGTCATTTCAAACACGGGTGTTTCGTCTCGTGCACTAGTTCTAGTTAATTGTCAAGGCTGATAGGCCGTGATCGGCATTGAAAATCTGATGTGAGTGCGGCTCTCGTATTTTCATGTTGATCGGTAAGTCCGGAGGACTCGTATGCGGACGGTTGACTGCCTGGTTCAAGTCCGGGCGACAGAGTGCGCGCTCAGTGCACACTCCAAAGGCGGTCTTCCCAAGGGCTGCTATAGGGGGCGTGGACTTGTACCCGAGCAGAGGAACGGATGTCAACAGGCGGGCGGTGATGACCGACAGAGGAAAGTTCCTGTCGCTTCACGGTGCGCCGGCTGATTGCGGGCGTGGGCGTGGGGGTCATCAATTCACAGTCAGTTCCCTGCCCTCAATCGGATGTGGATGGAGGTAACCGTCAACGTCTCTTTCGAGCGAATCTCTTGCATAACCGCTTGTTTTTTTTCCGACGCAATAGCCGAGTGGTCATGTCTCAGAGTCCTGTCCCGTCTGACAGTAGTCTCGAAGTGTTGCCGAGTGATGGCGGACTTGAAGTATCGATGAGTGGAGATGATGGGTTTGAACACTGGAGATGGCAGGCTTTGGTGAGTGTCTGGCGGTCCAGATTACATTGAACTCAGCTGCTCATGTTGTAGGCACTTGACGGACAAAACTACATCGACAGACTTCCTGTGGAGCTCCTGAGCACCATCCTCGTGTTTGTACTCGATCCCGACGAGTGGGATGACGACGACGGTGCCGAAGACTTACCTGAGCCGTTTATCCTGCAATCTGTGTGCCGACGATGGAGAAATGTCTGTCTGACCGTACCCGAACTGTGGGACGGCGTGTTGGAGAGGACGTACGCAACTTCAAAGTGGACGGAGCTTGCACTCGATCGCACCCGTGGCCGTCCGCTGAATTTTCAAGACCTCATCGTGCCTAGCGAGTCGTCGGAAGGCAATCCAGTGGGGTGGATGCGTATATTCCCGCTCATTCGCGATCGGGCACTGCTCATGGGGCGCGCCCGCACGCTCAATGTCGCGCAGACCGGTCCGGTGTCTCCACACGTGGACCAACCTGACTGGGCCTCGCTTGTCAGGTCCATTCCGCCAACCGAGCTCAAGAAGTTTGTGCTTACGCTGCACGAGGCTGGCCTGGAGTCCGAGGTCATTTTCGACGACAAGGCTTTCACGGGGACAATACCGCTCAAGATGCGCTCCTTCAGAGTGATGGGTGTCCGCATACTTCTTTCGTCGCTAGTGTGGAGGGCTCCCCAAATGACTCACGTCGACCTCGCGCATTGTCGCTTTGAGTGCACAATTCCGGCGCTCCTTCGCGTCATCGGCGAAATGACATGCCTGTCCTCGTTGGGGCTGTCACTGGATTCGCATCATGGACTCGCCCTGACGGACGAAGGCAATCCCGAGTCCCTTCCGGCGCCAGTAGACATCATGCAGTTGCGTTTTCTCAAACTCAGCATGGAGCTCGCATACGCCGAGGCCATATACGACAATGTCGTCCTCTCCGATCAATGTTACCTATTCGGCGTGATCACCATACACGGGGACGTGGGCCTTGAAGCCGCAATTGCAGCACTAGACCGCATGTATGCAGATCGGCTGCTCTCAGCATTTCCGGTCGACGATGTTACGCACGCGAGGGAGGTATCCATTTGGTATAGCTTGAGTCGCCCATGGAGCCTCACAATGGGCCTCTCCCGACGGTCTATCATCGCACGAGATGTCAAGGAGCGCGTGTTGCAAATTGTGCCTAAATCATATTGGTATGAATTGTCAATCATGAAGGCCGTCTGCCTCCACATGTTACGCAAGTGGGCAGCTTTTACGCCTTCAACCGTTCTGGCGGTTGGCCCATTGCCCCTGGGTATCTGGGCAGAGGTTCTGGCGGCCCTGCCATCCATCATTACCATAAAAGTGACGGGGTCACTAAGCGATCTACCGGACGTTCTGGTGCGCACTCATGCCGCCGCATACCCAAGATCTTTGAACTGTGTCGTTCTACGATCCATGGAGTGCATCGGTCCAGCAGTCGACAAACTGTCACGCGGATTAGCTCGACCTTACGGTCAGGGTTGCGGAAATCCTCCAGGGGAACGGCTCCTCGAGTTCGAGTGGTGCACGTCCTCTGGGATACGACAGCTGTACAAGAAGGAGGTCATCCGATGCGAGAGGCTCGCGGGCGAGGTCTCGACTGTAACAAATTGAGAGATTGTCCTCACGACAGGATGAGTGGACCGGTCGTACCAAGTTCCGTCCGCTATTCGAATGTTCAGATATTGCACTCGCTTGGTCAATGTGTTTGAGCCGTTCTATGATGTACTATACCGTCATTCTCTTCAATATCACGGATTGAACGCTACGTGGATCAGAAACGGGCCCAGGTTGTACACTGGCAAAGAAGGGCATCCCATTGTGAGTATCATGGCACCTTGCCTCGGTCCAACTGTTGCGTCTTATTGGGTTCTCTGCCGTTCTGGAGAGGATCTACCGTTGAGCGACGCGTGAACCTTCAGTCGTAGATTATTGCATAGATGGACCAGTGGCCGGTAAGTATAATCAGAAGCTGGTCAAGAGAGGTCAATAAATGTGAGGCATTGACAGGTGTCTGTGTTTGATGGCTTATGGTATGCATTCACGGCAACGGCAAGCAGGTCGAACGGTGTGGTTGTTAGTCATTCAATTCTCGCGTGGGACCTTGAGTCGCTTTTCCTGTGGCAATGTTAAGTCTATTCTTTTGAGTGCGGTGTCGGTCCTGGCATTGGTAGAGATATCTGATGCTATATTATCTGTAAGTGACGACGAATGATACGTCTCAATCAGTTTCCGTAGTGTTCTGGGGATCGTGTGCGTGGGAATGTGTGGTTATCAGTCGTCGCGGAGCTCCCTGCGTCTTTGACACTGACATCCATCATACGTCTCCTGAAGTGAGCCATTCGCAAAGCTGTCAGGCTCATTCCTGATGCAATACTTGAGCAGGCATGCTCGAGAGTCTTAACACGTCTGCCGGCGGTCTCAAAGTGTCGACAAACAACGACGGTCGGGCCCATCTACAGAACAGAAAAACTTCGGTGAGTGAGGTCGTTGGTATTTGACAGGCGTTTACTTGACTAAGCCATATACATTATAGGCGCTTGCCAGCGAAGGCTACCTCAACAGACTACCACTTGAAGTCCTGGTCTCCATCTTTGTACTGGTGCCCGAACCAGATGAGCGAGGTGTTCAACACTTTCCCGATGACTTGCCCAAGGTGCTCAAACTGCGGTCTGTGTGCAAACTATGGCACTATCTGTGTCAGACCACGCCCTCACTATGGATCTCCATAATTGAGCGGAACTTTGTGCACAGGGATTGGCTAAAGCTTGCGCTCGACCATACCCGAAACCAGACGCTGGACCTGAGAAGGCTCGAGGAAACTAGCACACTGGCTCTAGCTAGTCCAGAGGCGTGGAAACGCACATTCCCGCTCATGAACGAGGGGGTGCTACGGAAGGGTCGCGCACGTGAGGTCACTGTCGCTGACTTGGGGATGTTGCCTCTGGGTGTGGCCAAATGCAACTGGACCTCCGTCATCAGGTCAATGCTGGCAACCGAACTAGAAGTGTTTGGTCTAACGCTTTTTTCGCCCAATGACGGGGGGGTCAACGCTCTTTTCGACGATGATGCGTTTTCGGGGGAGATACCGCGCAAACTGAAGTCCTTCAGTATTGAAGGCGCCGGCATCGATCTTGGGTCTCAGGTGCTACGGTGGCCCTGTCTGAAACACCTCAGCCTCAAGTGGTGCTATGTTGAAGGCACAATATGGGGGCTCTTTAAGCTCATTGGCCAAATCACGTGCCTATCAGAGTTGGAATTGGCAGCGGATGGGCATGATGAGCGCAGCTTCATAGGCAACGATCATCATGGGTCTGCTATTGTGCCAGTGAGCCTGCTGAAGTTGCAGAAACTTAGCCTCACCATGCCGCTTAGCTATATCGAGGCCGCATACGACATCGTCAACATTTCCAACCAATGCCGCGTTTTGGACACAATCTTCCTACCGGAAGGGATGTCCGTTTCCACCGTGACTGCAGCGCTGGACCGCATGTATGCGGGTCGCTTGCTCGCCGGCGCGTCTTCGGTCTCTGACGGCGAGGGCAATGAGAGAATGTCCCTCTCGTTTGATGAGCACGTCGCATCCTGCCTTTCAATGCAATTATCCATCGAGTCTTTGACGACACAAAGGAGGCGATTCTCGTTATCGCTTGTACCTGGACGATCCGAGCAAGAAACGTCAAACCTGAAGGCTATATTCCATCATATCGCCAGACAGTGGCCGCCTTTCCAGCATGCAGTCGTTTTGAGCGGCGAGTCGCTTCCAGACGGAATCTGGGAAGACACGCTGGCGCTTCTGCCTTTCGTCAGAGCCATAGAGGTTTCGCGTTCGTTGTCCGATTTGGCAGACGCGCTGTTACGCGTCAGTGCTAAGGATTATCCGAGACATCTGGAAGGCATCTTCGTCCATGGAATTGAGCGCACAAAATCGCTGTTCGACCAACTACTGCGTGGATTGGACCGCACCTCGGTCCCCAGAGATCTCGAGGGCCAATATGTCATCGCGTGCGATTGGAGCGTCTCTCTTGAGGATCTGTATCAAGGAAGCCCGTAAAGGGCCGACGAAGAGCTCGCAAGCGGGGTTTGGCAGGCCAAGGGGTTCAAGCGGAGAGCTTTCGTACGATGGATAGACGATGAGTATGACGGTGTATCTGGTATCCAATGAGAGTCCGAGTCACACTTGTGTTGTTGTTATATTTTAATCGTTGTAAAATTCACTTGACATCATTACGTTTACTCCAAAGCAAGACTCTGTGTAGAGACAGGCCAGTGCGCTGATAAGATAGGGCTCTCATATCATAGTTAAACTCAACTTGTTGCAAAGGGTGACCAAGGAGCCGGCCCTTGCATAAGACTGGATTGAATGCGTAGTTCAATAATATATTTGCGGTTGTTCTTCATTGGCTTGAATGCTAAACTAAATTGGGACGAAAAAGCCAGAATATGCCCCCGCAGATACGTGGGTTGAGGCATTGGAAGCGTCATGCTCCACGCTCAAGTCGTATATGCGAAAAACCAAGGACTTGGAACGGTAAATCACAGTGCGTCCCTTACTATATCAAACTATTTGGCACAACTGACGCACTGTAGCCTGATCGTGTTTTGAGAACACCTACAACTTCTAGGAAGCCATCGCGTGCATGCTCGATGTGTGAATTGAGAGGTGTTGACTGTAGGGATCTCAAGGATCGGTATGTCTTAAGCACCCATTTAGGGGCTGTTTATTATCATTCAAAGTACAGGATTAAGTAGATCTATGCTTACAGCAATAGTAGTCAAGAAGTCAAATGTCCGAAAGAAGTCCACGGCTCAGAAGTGCGATATTCCGCTGCATTGAACGGCCTTCGACTCGAATACAGGGCCCCTTTCCCTCTCACTTGCGTGTTCTGAGTCAATACTATAAGAATGTACAACTTCATCTTCATTCTGCTATCAAGGATACGCCGCTCAAAAACATGCCCCGACACGGGCATTGGTCTGCGTAAGTAATTTCAAAGCTGTACAATGCGCCGAGAACATGAAGATCTTCTATGCTATTTGAAGCAGGCTGTCGTGGCTCACCGGATAGATTATGGTCGTACTTGAAGGTACTATAGTGACCATTCGGAAGTGGGGTCCTTCAGTGCGTCACGACCTACGTCTGCAATTTTGGATCATGATAAGCATATGCGACAGTGACTGATGTTTGCTTCGTTGCAGGTGCTACAAACCAGAGATATCGTTCTGGAACACGCACGCCAAGCTGCCCAGTCGCTGAAAGACGTTATTGCTGGTCATCACGACCAGTGGGCACACATCTTTTTGACCTCGCGACTGCAATAACGACCATCTTGATAGCCCTACTAGAGTTCTGTCGCACGGCTTTCTGCACGACAAGGTACGTCCCACGAACTGCTGTGCTCATACGTCACCTGAGGAATCCTTTCATTCTCAGACCTTTAAGCTAAAGGCGATAACTGCCATAGGGCTGCATGCGGCAAGACCCGCTACGGCCTGCAAGCTGTAAGCAACACATACGACGCAGGATGAGATGAAAGGCGTACTTAGACTTCTGCAGTTGGAATCTACACATCTTGCGATGGTGATATCTCTCCGAATTATCCACCTTATTTTGAATTGACAGGGCGGTCGACAACGGACGTCTATATTCTCTCTTCTGCGTACACCATCGAGCCTGCGGCACAAGGACTTGAGGAATTCATAAACTGGGTGGTATACGGACACCGTACTACTTTACTTAGCGGCGTTTAGGCATGGTTTTGCCGGTTCATGATGATGCAAGGCTCTGGACGACACGGCATTTTTCCTCGCGTGTCGCGGAAATATGCACTTTTCAACTTTGGGCCCCGACCACCACAACCACCAACGAAGTCTTAGCACCCTTTCGGACAAGTCGGCACGTCTTGTGTTGGGGGCAGCGAGCTGCCCCTTTGCGCGCGATCGCAGGTCGACTCCCGGAGTCGATAGCACTCATCCTGCGGTGGAACGCCACGGTGTTCGTACTTCATTGAACACACCAAGTACTATAAGCAACGAGGTATTATAAATCGCGACTCGAGGTCGCAGCGGAGACCTCAGCGATCTGAACGAGAGCCCGAAGGGCCATCGCATATTCTCGAAACAAGCACAAGCGACTTGTTTTTGGTTCCACCGATTGTGTCAGGTCGGCATGCTGAGTTATGGTTGCAGGTCGAGTCCACTGCTCTGCGCCAACAGTAAGTACAAGGCTCCCGCAGCAATCCTTTGCGGCTTTTAGAGGGCCTGGCAGCGTGTTAGTGAATGCCGCCCAATGCTATACTTACTTGTTGAGTCTAGTTATTTTACTCGTGGCGCGTGCATAAAGCTCGGTGCTCCAGCCTCGGCCCGCACACATCAGCAACCTCCTTTCCCTTTGATCTCTTTTTCTAAGTCTTTCTGATCTTTCCCTTTGAGTTCATCGCCTTCCGGCTTAGCTCTGAACTCCCCCCCCCCTCTCCTCCTCTCCCTCGGACCACTTCCTCCACAGCCCGCTGCCTCATTCTGCACCATAGTACTCATACGAGTTGTGTACTCTTGCTATCATACACAGCAAGCTCGTGCGCTATTACTCGATTGTACAATCGGACATCTGTACTAACTAAACTATTAATCGTGTCCACCCTTCCAAGGTCGTTCGCGGATCGGCAGACCTCCGACGAACCGTCGCTCAGAAATACTGCTGAGGTAAATACAGCGCAAGAGTATGCGTAAACAGCGCGAGTATCTGTAGTAGTTGGTCGCGAACAAGACTGGGTATCAACATCCTTATCCTCTAACCCTAACCTCAGAAGCCGCCGGAGCTACCGACGGCCTTACAGCATTAGGCACAATCTACAGTGGCTCCACAACGCCAGCCATTTCAGATGTTGCGTTTGTTCTACCAAGACCCGCTACTAGCGTAGCAGGAATCATTGTGCGTATCTCGGACAACCGCCTGCAGCTCTGCGATGTGTTTGTCGTGTCTGCAGGAAATACGATCTACGATAGCATTCGACCGCATTTCTCTGCGCACGACCATCGTAATTGTTGCGCAGCCTACTTACGACGCAATGTTGTCGGGTTCGAGCTTCCGCCGGTGGAGAGCGGCGAATATAGCTCGGAAGATGACCTCGAAGGAAGAAAAGCAAAAATTTCATACGCTACTTTCGCCTCCTTTGTCGATCTTGACTTCCCTAAACCAGTCGTCCGCATGCTGCGTGAGCTGGATAGTTTTGTTCGCTTATTAAGGAAAGGAGAAGAGGCATCACCGGATCGATGATGATACAACCGAAGCAGCATCTACGGTTGGTATCGTTGCATTCACCCCAAAGGATTAGGATAGGTAGCATATACAGAGTACGAATGTGTACAGTTGAATGTCCCGTCTGAATAACTGCCTGTTTTTGACTGAGAAGGAGCACCTAATACAGTACATAGGGTGTTGCGCATAAGGTGAAAGCCGGAAAAGCGTCCACTACAGGCATCACGATCGCCCTTTGGCCACGGGAAATGTGGCCTTTAGTGTGACCTCTTGCGATTATGATTGCCACAAAACACTCCGCCTCGTCCAGATCGACATCCTGGCCGGCTGGCGATAATACCGCATGAAAGAAGGAAACAGTTATCTGAGAGCTCTGCGAGGTTGCAACCCGTGTACGATGAGTGTGATCAGTAGGCGATGCATAAAGAGAGTGCCAAGTTGCACGAGGTTCATGCACTCGCAAAGCTTCACGCAAGGATTGGGTTTTCCAAATGAGACGCTGATCTGGAAAAGGGCTGGAGCTCAATACCCTAGCCTGGATGGAGCGGGTTCAGCTGAAACATACATCCCAGATGGGTGGCTCACGCTGTCACCTCAAGGTACCATCCAATACCCTTGTTCTGACTCCTTTCAAGCCCCGTCAATAAGCGGGGAGATTGGAGACCACAATGAGCCGTATTTGCAGCCCCTGACGCTGTATATTGTCGGTTGTGCGCACTGTGGAGACCCCCCCTGGGTTTCCACCCTGAAGTCAGCGTGAGTGAGGTAAAGGAGACCTTAGATCTACTACGCACTCGTGTATGTTTGCAGAAGGGGGGTTAAAACTATGCCTTGCACGATAGGCATAGCTTGTGACCGTCTCTGGGTAGGGCATGATTGACTCCCAAAAGACGCAGAGGCTGGCGAGGCGCGTACCGAACCGCATGTGACATGACGTGACGTCTCATTCCTCAGCGTAGGGGTGGTTTTGTAGTGTGGTTCATCAGAGTGGTTTTCATGCACACGGCAGTGTCTTATGCTTGCATCTGAAAACTTCGACTTCCAACCGCAACCTGCGTCCCGCCACGTTCTTGTCGTCTTAACCAGGCGTTGAGCAAAATCGTACAAGGTAAGCTTCGCACTCCTACCGCTTAGTGGCCGTTGAAGAGACTGGTGCTGCGTCCAAGCCAAGTCCTCGTCGGCTGGTCAAGTCTTGCACTGAGTCTATTCCCGGGTTCATTGCTTGATTCTACGGGGAGTAAATTTCGTGCTGAGAGTCCCTAGTGTCATGGATAATATCAGCAACCTCCCGGGGCTCGATGATATCGAGAGCTGTGTAGCGCAGCTCACAACGATTGTCGATAGTCTATCCAACGCCGGTATCGAGTGCCCTAAATATAAAACTGAAAACCCAGTATCACCGTGAGTTTCCGTCAAGGAAGATGTGTATGCCAGTCCTTTTGAACTTATACAGGAAGGTATTTGTCGAGAACAGTCCCCACAGCACGGCGGCAGCCGGCGCTGTCAGGGCGGTGGTCGTCATCACCGGTGGTGCGCGCTTGCTGTCACATGTCTCAACAAGCCCAGTACTTACGCAAGTCTCAGAGAATGACATGGAGAGACAAACGCTCTTCAGGTCCCTTCTAGTCGGTAAGGCTCAGTACATGACACTTGGTTGCGTCTATGCCCCTCCCCCCTCCGCCCCCCTCTCGGGTCATGCGTCATACTGTACTGTGCCGCTTGCTTCGACACTGATTTGACCTTTAGATTGCGACCTCATCGCATTCATTGGGTCTTGTATTCTGACAACGTACTCT